CCTCCCGTTTCTCTTGATCGTTGCAGACATGTTTCTACACTTTGATTGGAGCTGGCCAAGTAAATTAAATTGACTGGACTTTATTTAGAAAGGCACACACCTCTGTATAGGTCTTACAGCTGACAATGCATACTGTACAGAGCAAAAGCCATGGAGGTCAAAGGAACTTCCTTTGTAAGTCGAGGACTACCTGTATTATGACTGTATTTTGTTTCTTCATTACTAGTATTATAATTACCTATTTTGTAACTTTGAGAAGGCATTGGCTGTTTTTCAGCGAGATAGATATTTCAAAGGTATGGTCATTTTCCCTTCCTTCATTTGGATGTATAGTATTTAAGCAGGATTTTTTTAGTGTGGGTTCCTGCTTTGAGTAAGGAGTCAGTCTCTTTAAAAAGAAAGATCTTAAAGAGGGGAGAGCAGGAACCTTCAAACATTAGCATCTTGCATGTAAAATATATGTTGTTTCTAATCTGTGGTTGCAATTTGGGCATGTTCAGTATAAATTAACCATTTTGGTTTAGTGGTTGAGCACCAGGTTAGAAGCAGAAGTATGTGAGTTCTAGTTGTACTTTAGGCATGCAAGTCAGCTGGGTAACTTTGAGCAAGTCCCTCTCTCTCTTAGCCCAACTCATCTCACAAGATTGTTGTTGTGGGAAAAAATAGGAGGAAGGAGTATTAGGCATGTTTGCTGCTGTAAGAGATGACCAGGCTGAGCCTGGGGGAGGGGTCAAATGCGTCATCAGTCTTGAGTCCCTTCATGTCCACAAGAGATCTAAGTCCAGCCCACCTTGAATTCCATTGATTCTTATCTATTGCCAACTCGTTTTGATCATTAGTAGTTCCAATTCTTGTACAGAGTGTTAGCATGCAATAAATCTGTAGTTATTTGAACTGCCTGATTTTCTACACTCGACAGCTGCCTTGAGTTATTTGTAAAATAATAATGGTGGATATTAAATCTTTTTAAAAAATAGTCCATGCAAATTAACACCAATCCATTTTTTTGTCATCTGACATCACTGACTTCAGTTCTTGCCAACCCAACAATGTAGTCTGCAGCTTCTTTTTAATAATGTATTATGAGCACAGATCAGTGTTGACATGCAAAACTATTTACACAGGCAGCTATATGTCTCTTCCCAATACCCTGACACCTCTATTTTGATGAACCTGTACTTGAAGCTATGGATTACTGTCCAGAGCCATTATGTTCCATTGGAATACATATCTTGCTCAGCTGTTTTCACCAGGATGTCATCAGGCCTACTTTCTTTCTATAGTGAACCTACCTATCAAAAAGGACTTTCCGCTTTATCTTTTTTTCCCATTAACTGTCCTTCTCTCACTAATTTCCAGTCTTCCTACAGCACAATGCTGGTTTAAATAGGAGGCAAAATGGGGTGGGGTGGGAGGAGTGTACATTTTGTAGAACTATTGTGAGAAAATAATTTCATGCTCTATTTGCCATTCACAAGTGCTCAGTGGAGTGTTCAATTTGCATTCTTTGCAACACACATCACAAATAAATTTGATTTTTGCGGTTTGGAAGCATGAAGTCAGGTAGCATTAGCAAAATTACACACACCGGCTCTCATAATTGCTCTCCTTGTACAGCAATGGCAAAGTCTGTCCATGCAGAGCTGATAGCATTCCTATTGTTGGCACAATTCAGCTGATGGAAATGATTTCTTTCTCTGCCCAGTCTCCAGACCAGATCTGTTGTCTTTCCAATGAAGAATGAAAGGTGACAATTTTTTTAAAAAAATACCAAACAGCATGTACACTTATATAAAGGAGTATCTTGACAAATACTCTTGAGTTAATAGCAATAGCACTCAAGACTTATATACCGCTTCATAGCTCACACTAAGCGGTTTACAGAGTCAGCATATTGTCCCCAACAATCTGGGTCCTCATTTTACCAACCTTGGAAGGATGGAAGGCTGAGCCTGTGAGATTCAGCATAATTAGCTTGCAATACTGCATTCTAACCACTGTGCCACTAGGCTCATGTTTTAATCTTAAAACTATCTAGAAGGATCAGCCTCCTTGATGTTCCATCCAGCTTCTAGCATAAATTCTGTCTATTCACTGGTTGGAATAAAAAGACCTGTAAAGTGGCTTCAGTTTGATCAGTTACCTGTGGCTCGATTCTACAATCACACTGAGAACACTCATTACACAGTCAGCCAGATATTCAGACTGGATTTGGCATGTTTGTCCATCTGTCAAATTCTTCCTAAGAACCTGGAATAGGCAGATGTGAACGTTTAATGGTGCCATAGATATCGTCGCAGGATGTAAGCTGTTCCGAGTAAAGGCATCTTTTGCAATTGACTGGTGATTCTGTCAATGTTGACAGTGCTCAAGTGGTGCTCCAGATATTTTGGGATTGCATCAAAGGCACCTATTAATATTGGCACTACCTTTGCTTTCTTTTGCACAGTTGTTCTATTCTGTTTGCAGATCTTTATATTTTGTTATCTTCTTTCTCTTTTATTCTAATTATTATCCTGGATTTTCTATTACCAAAATGCAAAAAGTGCACTCTAAAAATTTAGCAGTGCAGTTGAGAGATTTTGGAAGGCTCACAAAAGAGGGTGGGAGTTACATATTGGTTTAGGGTTATGGTTCATGACCATAAAATGAAATTTTGAAATAATTATTGGTATTTACATGGCCCACTTAGCCTCACACAGCTGATCTAAAAGCAAAACAAAACAAAACACCTAAGTAGACTTAGATCTGGTTGTTTCTTGGATAGGAGACCACAAGGAGGGCCTATAGCAATAGGGTAGGCTAGGAGGAAACACGAAAAATCCTAGAAGAGAGCAATGGCACATCCCTTCTATAATGTTATGAAAAGAATGACATGTAACTGTACAAAAAGTCACCGGGAATAAAACTCAATTTGAGTGAGAGTTAATTTTACCTCAGAACAAAAACAGAGGTTTGAGAGAAGTGGGACAAATAATGCAGCTCTGAGTTTTGGCTTCAAAAGATACATGAGGAATGGATGATTTTTAATGGAGAGAGAGAGATTGTAATGGGGAAAAAACTGGAAAAATAGAATAGCCCCTTCCACTCCTGCAGTGCATTGCTAAATTTCACTCCAAATCCATAACAAACATATGGATAAAGTTCTCTGGGGTGGAGATAATTTATAGTCACAAGTTCCCATTTACTGCCATAAAGAAATGAACTCACTTAGTGGGTGAGTCCCTTATAATAAGCTATTAAAGAGGTTCAATAGGTTCAATCCCAAATAAGCTGCTCATCAAGTGAACAGATTTACCTGAGGGAAAAGGTTGGGTTTGAAAATCCTGTGGATTTATCAGTAATGAACATTATCTGGGAAATGTGCATTTCAACCATTTATCCAACCAAGGAAGTTTGACTCGCCCTGACAACAAATCTGCATATTTTGATACGCCTGAGCTTGAATATGCAAATTAAAAGAATGTATTAATTATCATTAGGCCTTCCTTCACAAAAACACTAGACCTAATTAGAGAAATAATTTGGGAAAATTGAACTACATGACAGGAGAAAAAAAATAAGATTCATCAAGTTTCAATTCTCTAATTCTGTCAGCTTGTCAAAAGTAGGATCCTGTTATTAATCCTGGAAATAGTTTCTCTCTCTCTTCTCCTGTAATATAGTTTAAATGCCCTTTAAATAGTTGCTTTCAAAACTTGGGAGGGTCTTCCTTTTTGTTTTTAGTGGTTAAAGAGGTTATTCTAAGCACCCCAAAAAAAAAAAAAAAAAAAACCTATCCTAATTTTTTTCCCTGGATGTCTTTCCAGAATTGAAAGCGCTTCTTTGAGACTTTGGATTGTTCTATTCAGAAAGCCCAACATGGCCACTAGTATTCTCAGAATGCCCTTAACATTCTTGAAAAATGCCACAGATCTCTGCTGGGAGAATTCCTGCTTTAAAGCATGCTACCCATGAATTTTGCATGAACGAATAATGCCTTGGACCCACAATCACCCTTCAAGAAATGGAAGGCTGTCTACCATTCACTGAAGACAGGCCCAAGCTGAGATGACATAGTGAAAATCCAATCGAGTTCCAGCCTTTATTTAAACCAGGAGTCTCCAACCTTAGCAATTTTAACACTTGTGGACTTCAACTCCCAGAATCCCACAGCCAGCCATGCTGGCTAACGCACAGAATTTTGCCAATCTAACACCATTTAGAAGCAATTTGGCTTAGTGGTTAAGGCACCAGGCTAGAAACTGATAGCCCATGAGTTCTAGTCCTCCTTCCTTAGACATGAAAGCTAATCGCTTTCTCTCAGACCAACCCACCAAATTTTTGTTCTGGGGAAAATAAAAAGATGGAGCATTAGGTATGTTGGCCACCTTGAGGTATTTATAAAAATAAGGTGGGATATATATATATAGATATATAAATATGCATATATGTTTATGTACATGTATATACACACATATATACACACAATTGAACCCAGCCTTTCTGAGGAAGCTGCTGCTCTTTATGGTAAAAGGGTCTCTTCCTGCAGGTACAGAAGGAAGCATGGAAATAAAACCTTTTCCTAACACCAGAGTGGAATTTTGTCAACCTTTTTTGTAACCTATAACAAATCACGTGATGAATCAGTGGCTGATTCATAAGATGCTATGCCGGCTTGCTTTGGGTTATCTTTATGCTGAACATTTCAGCATAAAATTTCAATATAGATAAATAAAAAATCAACAATGGTGATTTAATTCCTTGTGAAGGGGTTTCCATTAACTGAAGTCAACTATAAAGAAATTATCATTAATAGGCCGTTTTTTTTTGTTTGTTTCTGAAATAAATTTAAAAAAGAAAACACAGCCCAAGTAAAATATTGTGTCTTCTGAAAAGGTTTCTGTAACTTGAAACAACATGATGATTACAACCTCTATCAGATTGTGCCCATTTTATCTCACTTAGGGGAGTCTGAATTGTAGCAAAGTCAATATCCCAAAGACATCAATGTGCACATATTTCTTTATAAGTAACAACTTTATTGTAACTTGATGTCCTGAAATGCAAAAATATTTTCAGCAACAAGGTACAAAAAGTATCTCACTGAAGTATTTCACTGTTAACATCAGGCAGATATAAAAGGCTGGATGGTTTGATGCAAATGTCTTAACATGATAGGTAATATGGATAATTTCCAATTAAGCACAGGCTTGAATTCTTCCAATCTTTCCATTCTAAAACAGGACTCAAAAATATACCTTCATTGGGACATATCAAAATCCAGCATAAACTAGACTACAAGAGTATGATAAACGCAAACCACAACAAACACTGATAAAAATAATGTGCATCCATTTCCAGAGATAGTCCATTTGCTGCAAGCAAAACAGCAAGAAAATCAATGCAACTGTACAATGCGCTGAAACTAATTAGAGTCCATAGGAAGGATTCCGATCAATCCAGTCAATAAAAATTAAATTTGGGCTACACATCAATTGGTTTAAAAAATCTTTTATAGCTTTAAAACAAAGCATGCCCCAATGGTTATCCTAATACCTTCTATAGGAAGTTGACAAAAATATCAACTCCCTGAACTTGAAGGAACCCCTTTATAATAGAGCCATCAGTGCCTTGCCAATTACTCTCAAATAGCCATTACTCATCACATTACTATACTGAAATCAAGGAATTACAAAACAAAAGCAGCCAGGCATACCTTAGCTATCTTAGTAATTCTCTTTCTAGGATATCCAGAGCTGTTTTCAACCTGCAATTGGCTACAAGAGACAAGTATATCTTTAAAAAAATATTTGGCATCTCCAGAGATGAACAACTGTGATGTGCTGGCCAGATACAATGTTAATGACTTCTATATCATCAGTCTTTCTCTTTAAATTCTCCCACAACTTTCCATTTTTTCTTCATTTCATCAGCTTGCATTTCAAAAAACCACAGGGCACTATATGTCAGCATGCAGTAAATGGACTGCCAAAATCTGGATGAGTTACTGAGGCTTCCTTCATTGAAAAACATCATCAACATAAGTAATTTAAATGGTAACTATCGCTTTTAGCAGAAATCCGAGTCCCATGTTTCAGAAAACAAATCTTACGAAACCCATACACCATAACACAACACATGCAGGCTGCTCTCTTTGGGGTCAGGGAACGAGGTCTGATACTGAAGGCCAATGGAGAGGAGCAAAACAGGCAAGCCAAACACAGCAGTTTGATATTTGAGCTGAAAATCTGGGAGTAAGGGTGGGCTTCCCCATCCTCACAAACTTTCCAGATTTCAGCCAGTAGGTACAGAAACATGGAAAATACAGATTGTTCTTGCCAGCTCTTTTGGAAGAATGCAAACACTGAATGTGGTTCCTTGAGAAAATAAAGATGGATTAGCTTATCCATAGAAAACAACATTAATTTTACTTTACTGAGTATTTTGCTATAGCCAACAAGTAAAACAATATATTAGTTCAATTCATACGATTGGCTATTAAGGTCATCTATGGCAACATCTTATAAATTTTGATAAGATGTCTTAAACAAGTACTTCATTCATATCACGCAGTGCTTGATATTTTTGGTACAAAATGTGCTATTAAAATTTTTAAAATGCTTAACGAAAATGTTTTAAGATGTTCTTCTTGACTGCTGTATCAAGTACTACCAGAAGAAGCTGAAATGGACAATCACTCTATTAAATATTCAAGTCACTTTTATATTAAGCTGCAACATTCAAAATGCAAAGTTGCTTATATCAATATGTTGTTTACCGTGCAGCAAAATCTTCTTTTATCATTGCGGGACATTACATTCTTTTAATTTCACTGGTTAGAACACCTACCTGTACATGATCTTAATTTAGATAAACAAAAACTTCCTAGTAATATTACAAACTATAACACATCTCTGGATAGAACACTGCTGTACCACTTTGGTTCAGTGATTAATGTTCAGGGCCATTGAAACCACAAAAATGGTCCTTTTAACTGCGCTTCAAGGATGCATGTTCAAATTCTGCACTGACCTTTTCTGTGAAAGAAAGAGTTGAGCCAGAATGGAGATTTGTTTCAAGTTTTAGCATTGGATTGGAAGCACTCTTTTTTTTTCTTTGCTCCCAACTGTTCTTTACATATATTCAAAATAATAATCTTTCAGAATAAATGTGCCTTAGATCTTTGAATTAATGCTTCCCTGCTGAAAACAGAGGGAATATCTTTTGAAAAACTAAGGAAACCTTCATTAATTGAGCATGTCAGTCAAATGGGCTACCTAAGACCTTTTATGCAAAAGCACAAGAAATTCCCTTTACTTATGGTTCAATACAATTTCTCCCACACAACAGATATATCACATTACCATTATTAAGGTAAATCCATGATAATAAAACATTTCTAATGTGCATGTTTGCAGAGAAATCCCTCCAATTGTAAACAATGCTAACACACACACTAAAAGTGTTGGCATTAAAGCTAAATTTTGAATAATAGTAACAATAATTATAGTAATAATTTAAAAAAAACCCTTTCTTCATTACAAGCAGTTTACAAGGTTGTTTATAAGATCCTTTTCACATTAGGCAGAATTTCAATACCATCCACAATGCTAGTACAATAATGAAGGCTAAAAAGAGCAGGTCAGTGCTTATAAATACTGACATTTCATACTTCTATTCTTCCTGCTAAGTGTGTGTCTGTGCAATTTTCACTAGTGAGAATAGGCTTGTGCGTACACACACTAAGGGAACAGAGTTAAGCCTACCCAAAGTGTGGAGACAGAATGGGTTCTAACATGAACACTTGAAGATATTAAGTTAAAATCAGCATCTCTAAGTCATGCACTCCTTGTTTGCAGTAACAAAACTAAATCCCATGTGGCTGTGGGCATCTTAATGTATTTCAAAAGTTAGGCCACAAGTACTGTACCATATTTATCAAAACCAAAATATATATGTACCACACAACATACAAAAGTTACACATTAAAAGTGCATACTGAGATTCCATTTTGGCCCATTTCTGAAATCGACATTTGGTCGCTCTTAAGCATTCTTAACCTCCCATGTATTCTATTTGAGAAATAACCATTTCTTCCACAGCACATATCCCTTATTTCCTCTCCGTACCAACTCTCGCTCTGGTTCAGTACAAGGTAAAAGAACAATGGATCATAAAGCAACATGGGCCAAAAAAAAAAAAATTACTATATTTTTTTTCCACTGATGGGCACACTCACATAGTAAGCATTTATAAATACTAGTAAAATACATTTCTGAGCCAAGACATTGCATATTTCCCTCAGTCACCTGAACCAATGAAAAATAAATTATATTCAGAGTAGTATATTGCCACCGCATGCCTGACAGCACTCTCTGAAGATAGGCAGATGCATCCTAAATACAATATTTTGGACTGGAGCGCTTGTTTGCCCCCAGTTCAAGTGCTTTTAACAGAGGGCTAATTGAAATCCAGTTACCATAAGACCAACCGATAATCTTCATTTTGGGAATTTTTTTTAAAAAAAAAAAGAAGGAAAGGAGAAGAAGATCCTTTTGAAAACGGTCTTCGTTGATCAGCATTACTGCCTTATGGAGCTAGTGCAATCCTACAAAGCCGAGTCAAAAACGACGAGGCACCATTTAAAAAACAAAAACAGGAAAATCACAAATGAACTAGAATAGTTGACGTTAAGGCCTTTCAGTGAACTGGAGAATTATCAGTCTGATTTAAAGCTGATTATTAAACCATACATTTTATCCATTCTTTAAAAGCTTTCTGGTTCTGTTCTGCAGAGAAGGGTCACATATTTGAGCAGTTGGTTTGCAAAACCCCTTCTGGATATGGACAAGGAAGCGTTAGTTCCCGAGAGTTCATGGAAGATTTCATGACTGTTTTAGCCGTTTGCGTGGAATGCCAAACTGCGGACACTGTGCAGAGGCCAGGGCCCGAAAGGCCTCAGCGACCAAGTGGGGATGGGAGTGAATCATCGATTTCCATCCTGCGGTTTCTGTTATGTCTGTGGCTTGGCTGTAAAGATAACAGATGCACAAAACATGGGTTGAGAAGATTTGCAAAATACTACACGTACTACAGGTCAAGTACATTAAGATGAACAAGACATACTTCCAAGTGGAGATATTGGGAAGATAAGGAACCAAAATGAAAGCATTTTTAGTTTTAGTCAGTGATTACCAAAGCCAACTTGTGTGATCAAGGCTTGCAAAAAGCTATTTTTCAGTACCTGAAAGGCTGGGAAACCCTGCTTGACATTTCAGCAAATCCCTCTCTTGTTCTGAGTAGGAATCACAAAGCCATTTATTTTATTTATTTATTTAAAACATTTATACAGTTCCCCATCTTTCATACAATTCTGGGCGGCTCCCAATCAAAAATTAAAATAATATAAAAAGCCATATTAAAAAATTATAAAACTAAACACACGAAAACACTAAAAGCAACAAAAACCTGGTGCTTATCAGTGCTAACGTGCCATAATCTAATCTCCCAACATTTAGGCGGAAAAGCCAAGTCTTCAAAGCCTTACTGAAGGCTAAAAGGGTGGAGGCCTGCCAAATCTCTCATCAGATGGCAATATTTAGGGGAAGTGACTAGGAGAGTGCCCACTCCTGTACTTCATTCAATACTGTATTTTATATGTGAGCTGCAATGGATCTCCCATTAATTCCAAAGCCATATTATCAATTTATCTTTAGTTGGCTTCCTGATCAAGTTTATAAAATACACAAATATAAAACAGATATGTAACCCACCTGGGAAAAGACTAAAATACAACGAACATAAAATAGGGAGAAATTTGTAATAGAAAAATGGAGGGCACCCCTCAATAGTTATATGGCTGACTTTAGCTTTGAGTCTCACTCTTTATTTCACTTATCTCTCACGATCAAGACAACACACAGCTAGATTACAGACAATGCTTAAGTGAGATCAAAGTATACATACCTGTTGTTCCAGTTTTTTCCATCTTTACAGCCAAGCTGCCTAAGAACACTGCACCTGTGATGAAAAAATACTCAAACATTATCTCTCTGAAGTGTTCCCTTCAAAGGAGAAAGATTTTTCAAGGAAACAAATCACATACCTGTTAATGAAATCTATTGCTTGTGCTTTCAATTGTTCTGCACTGTGCAAATCTGCGAGAATCAGAATGTCTGCCACATTTTCTACTGAGAGGTTACTACACAGAGCTTCTTCACACATGATCTTCAGCCGTTCAAGTGCATACTGACCAGAGAGAAAAATTGTTTGTGTATATTCAATACTGCTTCAGTCAGAAAAGCAGACATCTCTAATACAGAAATGCCTGGCAGAAACTATGAAATATTTGATCCCTCACAATGAACTACAGTATCTGAATGATAGAGCATGTACTGCTCTACCCTCAATGAATTTGCATTAGGAACAATAATTTCCAGGGCTACATATTTGGCAAAGGAAATGCTAAGTATGTAAGTGTATTGATCCATTATTAGTAATTAAAGCATGTTAATTCTTCAAATTTGAAACACCAATAAAAATATTAATCTCATCTATACATTTCACTTCTCTAATCTGTTACTGTAATATCCTAGAAAGAGGAAATATGACAATAGGGGGTCTGAAAAGGTCTTTCTTCTTTCTAAATAGATAACTACATGTCTGGGTGGTTATTCTCCTCAGTTCTCCAGAACACTGTCCAAAATAATGGATAACAGCTTTTCACTAATAATATAAAACAGGTTTATATAATTTCTGATCTTTCTTTACTCGGTGTATTGATATCATTCCTGAATGTAGGAAAATGTCAAAATGAGTTCTTTCTACTTTTGGTTAAAACAAATAGTAAAACACTTCTATAGTTTTTCTTTACTTACTTTATCTGCTGCTGCCAACAAGCTGTCGGCCATTTTCTCAAGATTTGGAGCCTTGCCTGTATAAATGAATCTCATCATCTCTTTAAATACGTCAGGATCTACATCATTTATTTCTACACAATTCTGTCACACAAATCAGAAAAAAATCTTGTTATGATTTTGAATTAAAGCATTATAAACCACTTAACCTAAAGCAATGCAGCTACAAAACACATTAGGCCCTCATTATACCTGCTGATAACATTAACTAAACCTATTGCTGGGTTCCTTCAATCTCAGGAAGTGACATTTTTTCCATGAAATCCAATAGAAATTTAGAAGCTGTTATGGTGTTCTACTTGGATTCAAATAAACAAGTCAAAGAAATAAAAAGTAAATGAGTCAAAAATTGAACTAGAGCTTATTTGCAAAATTAACATACTGCTCTTCCTACCTTACATGTAGTTCCAATACTGCATTTTCTACACTTACAAATCTGTTTCAGGCTTCGAGCAAACTGCTAGCTTAAAATTTAAAGAATGTTATAAGACAATTGCCGCTGAAGACAATGCCTGGCTAAAAAAATGAGTAAAAAACAGAAAATCCTCAATAGTACCAGCTGAGGTACTTTGGGAAAGCAGTTCAAAAGGAGGCAACAATAGAAAGGACTATGAAACCAATTTTATTCTGATGGATCAATTATTTCTTCCTAACTAAGTACAGGAGTCAGGGTATCCCAAAGATGATTTTCCAACAACAACTGGAATGTCTGTTTTTTTTCCTTTAAGAAAAAAACCCCAAGAAATCCAGTTGCCTTTTGAAAAGCACCTTTGGGACAACCATGACCCAGATAATTGAGACTCTCCAAAGACAGGATAGTTTTGACAGACAACCCATGTTTTCCATATCCTTAGATTGGCTTATTCAATCCAGAAAGGCCAATTCTATAACAGTTGCTCCAAGGCTCTACGCGCGATCTACTGCAAATGAATATCTACAATATCCACAAAGCACTTTTATTTTATTTTATGGGTCACACGTTTGCAACATTTCATATAGTATTATATTTTTAAATGCATTGTTCAAATAAACTGTGAGATACTATTTGGCCCATGAATTTTTTTCATTTAACCCTGGGCTCCTAACCCCTGGCTACAGATTGGTACCAGTCCATGGCCTGTTAGGAACTGGGCCATGCAAGTGACGGGCAAGCGAGGAAAGCTTCATCTGTGCATGCGCAAGATCTAGGTTGCACACAAAACCATCACCCTTCCCCCTGGTCTGTGGAAGACTATTTTTCTTCCAAAACTCGTCCCTGGTGCCAGACAGGTTGGGGGCTGCTGATTTCACTGACTGATTGGTTTCTGTCACCCTATGCTGATTCAAAGGTTAGGTCCTCTGGGACATCGTTCCACAGAAATGAAAGCAGCACTCCACTCACCTTTTTGCTTTCCTCCATCTCATGTTCAAACATGGCATTAAAAACAGGTGAACGAGCTGTGGGAAGAGACGAGTGTTAATAGTAGGTCAAGATTGTAACAAAAGCTATGAAAGAAGACGGAAGTAAAAGTTACCTGCAAGGATAGATTTATGAGCTTTGAACTCTTGCCCTCCTACATAAAAGCTGCAGTCTGTGAATCTTGTGGTTTCCCAGAGGTTGCCTAAATCTTCAGCTAGTCGACATTCAGGTACTTTTAAAGTGTTTGTACTGGACAGTCCTGATATATTCACTGAGTCTTGGACCACGCTTACCTAATCAAAACAGTAAATAATATATCAAAAACTGTAATGTTAAGGCTCTCATAGGGCAATAATGCATACATTAGAAAATTGGTTTCATTTCTGATATCCCAGAATCATGATATTTAGCTAGGAAAATAAAATAGACCAACAAACCAATTTGACCAATACAACTCAACATGTATTGTACTATCAGAATATTAAGAAAAAGAGATGAATATTTTTACAGGTGGCGTTGTTTGAAATCTGCTCCTAATGAAACCTAACAACAATATATACAATAAAATTGTTTTATCTTGTACCAAAGTTCCTCAACCTTTCCAGCTTTGCAGACTGGTGTGGGGGCAGAGAGGGGACGGTTTCGTGTGAGTGGCAGGCAAACACGCCCATGGGCGTAGCTCCACTTGCAGGAGCAGCATGCACTTGCACCTGCCGCTCACGTAAAGGGACCACTTGCCCGCTGCTTGCAGAAGGGGGGATGCGCACATGCTTGCTGGGTGCCCCAGTTTTGAACAGCTCACAGCCTGGTAGTGGGCTGTGATTGGGGACCCCTGTTGCATCAGATTTGAAGCCAGAATGGAATTGGAAGTATTTAAATATAAATTAAATATAAGTTAGAAATCAAGTTTCTAGAATAGATGTTTTTATAAGACACACCAGAAAGGGTTCTGCAACTGAAGAGTAGGAAAACTATAGTTGCTGAATTACATCATCCAGCAGCTTTGATCAGCATAGAAGGATGCTGGGCTAGCATTCCTATCCCAGTGAATGTCTTATTATACTGTATGCAGATGAAGCAAGGTATTTTAAATTAATTCAAATATATCTGTCAGGCCTGGAAGCCATCTTTTGCATTGGATCTTCAGGCATGCCATATTTAGTGCTGTGGGAAACTGGGAGGGGGATTGTATGGGACAGGGGAGATATATAGTCATAATAACATTCCATTCTCTGGGAGTCATGGACATTCTGCCCTGCACTTGGAGTGGTGTGACTGGGAGGCATCTCCAGTTGGGATGGTGCATTGATTGGGCCATGTGATGGACATGTGGGTGCTGGGCAGGGACTTGGACTTTCCTATGGGTGGGGAAAACCTGGAAGCTTTCAGATTCTGATTTTCCCAGATATGCCAATATGACATCTCTAATAAAATGGAACTTTGAGGATTCTCTAGCCTCGGAGTCCTCTTTCGTTAATCAAGTCAAAAATAGTATGTTTTGAAAAAATGGAACATAAGAAGAAAGGCAATTTAAAAGTTACTTCATAGCGGTAATACCAAACAGTAGACTATATTTTATATACAGAAGACCTCTTCTCTGGTAGCTAAAATATTGAAAATTTGGAAAACATTTCCAGCAACATGGACAAATAATCTAACCTAATATAAGTGTGGCTACCAAATGGTAGCCAAATTATTGTTTCAGGAGTGAAAACAATGAACTAAATTTCTGTTCTTATGGTGACCGTGTCATGTGACCTTGGGAAGAGGTGTGGGGCAACAGTCATAACTTCAAATATGGATGTAAGTAGCTTTTTAAAAGTCTGTTGTAACTTTTAATGATTATTAAATGGTAATAAGCCAATGGCAACCTGAATGCATATGCATTCAGATTTCCATCAAATGCACACATCTACAGACATCTGTGCACACACAAAGCCTCTCTGCCTTGTAATCTGCATTCATCTGAGATTATTGGAAATGAAGGGTTAATGCTCTTCTTCTAGGGTGCCTGCCATATTCTTCCCCACAATTTGCCTATATTGCACTAGATAGCAGGTTTTCAAGAAGACCCAGCAACATAGAATCATTTCAGTAGCGAGAATGAGGAGCTATAGACCTTCCCTATAGATAATCCTCACTTAGCAATTATAATAGGGACCAGCAACTTCATTGCTAAGTGAGACAGCTGTAAACTGTAAGTTGTGTGACTGCACCAACCTATGGCAGTTGCAGCAGTTCTGGTTGCCGTCATTAAGTGAATCCTGTGTGATTATTAAGTGCAATGTCACGATCACCAGTTGCAACCTTCGGTTTTCCCATTGACTTTGCTTGTCAGAAGCTCGTAATGAAAGTCGCAAAGAGCAATTACATAATCCCAGGATGCTGCAATCACTATAATTGTAAATTGGTTGCCAAGTGCCCAAATTACAATCATCTGACCATGGGGATGCTGCAACACACACAAGTACGAGGACCGGTATATATTCAGCGCTGTAATAATTTTGAACAGTTACTGTACCAGTCATCATTAAATAAGGACTATTTGTATTTTAAAGCTAACTATGTTCAGTTTCCAAACAATAACTGAAGCTCCAAAAGGAGTTAGCAATAGCACTTAGACTTATATACCTCTTCATAGTGCTTTACAGCCCTCTCTAAGCGGTTTACAGAGTCAGCATATTGCCCCCAACTATTTGGGTCCTCATTTTACTCACCTCGGAAGGATGGAAGGCTGAATCAACCTTGAGCCTGGTGAGATTTGAATTGCCAAATTGCAGGCAGCCAGAAGGCAGCAGAAGTAGCCTGCAGTACTGCACTCTAACCACTGCACCACTGTGGCTTAGTTTGTTAAGAAAACAAAATGCAAGACTGGATGCTCCTGAATCAATGCATTAAAACCACTGCAATACAACAGACTTCATATATTGCACACACTCCTTGCCTTTGTCCATATTAAACATTCGCCTCTAACAAGTTTGGTTTGCAGTCGAACTGTTTGATTCAGGAATATTGTATAACATGAAAATCCTTTCAGATTCAGGCTTGTTACATCCACTTATCAATGCAATAATTGTATTCATAACAAATTCATCACACAACTAATTTAGCCTGTCTATCTAACTAAAATAAGATGCAGTACATTTGTACCATTTAGTCTCAAGGGCCACATTTCAATTATTCCTCATGCACAATATAATGGCACATAATTAAGTTGTAAGCTTGCCAAGAAATTTTTGCACATATTTCTTGTAAATATAAAGATCAAAGCAAACTTATTAGCAGTTACAGCATCTATCATCTTCCTAAGCCACAAATCAGTCCCCGGCAGCAGTGATAACCAGCCAAAGTATATTTAACACTCACTGTACTGGGATCGTAACCTTCTTCACTAGCTTCCATTTGGAAGCAGTCTTTCTGGGTATTATTAAGGCAGGTTGGATTACTGACATAATTAACAGTGATTTAGTGATTTAAGCCAAGGATCTATTTCATCAGAGCATTTATATTGATTGGATTTTTAAATTAATCTAAACAACTTTCATTCTTCCAAGCATTCACGAACAAGGATTGTTGAGAAAAGTTATCTTAATTTTGTAATATTGTTAACAGATTTAAATCTGAAGAATATCAGAAGAATTTATAAACATTTAATGTCATGGAGGACATTATCAATATAATGAAAAGCCACAACTGTTTTGACAAAAGCAATTTTATCAGTTTCACTGCACAATTACCAATTCTACATATCAAACTTGTGAGTTAGAAACTCCATCTTCTTAAAACATATCCCATAACCGTTCCTCTCTGTTTTCTTGGTAGGTAAGCTAATCAGGGAAGGTCTGGGATCACTATGATCATTGCACATTTATTATGGAAATAAATTATTTTGTCTTTTAAGACTTTGCATTCAAAGTTCTGGTCAATTTAAGCAAGGTGTGTCAAACTGACAGCCCATGGGCCAGATGCGTCATGTACAGGCCATGCCCACCCCAGCTCCACAAATGGGAAATACATCACGAAATGTCATGTGATGGCAACATGACGCAGCGAATTTGATACCCGTGATTTAGGCTATCCAAGGAGCTGAAGCACTGAAAGAAGTTCCAAAATTGAGAAAGAAAAGCTTACAGCATAAGTTTACAAAGATGCTTCTACAGAACATAAACTTTTCTGTTTTGGTGAATTCTAATTTAAAAATCAGGCTTATCTTAAGCTAGTCAATATTTGAGGAGCAAGCAAAATGCACAAATAATAGATTATATGGTCTGCAGCTATTAAGATACATAATTCTTTAAATAACTACTGCCAACCAATGTAAAGTGTACTGGCCTGATTCAAGAAAAGGAGTTATCCAGTTGGACTTCATTTAAAAATATATCAATGCAGAACCAATTTGATCCTATGATAGATCCCAATGCAATGTTGAATAAAGTGAAGCATTAGAAACATGCAAACATCTCATGAGGATGGAGTGGGAGTTGGAGTATTCCATTGATTGATTGATTGATTGATTGATTGATTGATTGACAGACAGACAGACAGACAGACAGACATCACAGGAGTATTCCTCAGGCTTCTTTTCATTTTGTGCGAAATAGCAATGTGTCTAATGGGCAACTTATTTATAGAAAATGGATCTTGCATCAATACATAAGAAAACAATTAAGCTCAAACCTTTGATCAGGGTGTTTCTTTAATACAGAAGGAATAAACTTAACATTTAAAGCTCTCCTCATTTCTCATTCATAGCCATGGAAACCAATATTCTATTTTTAAAAGCACAGATTGATTACCTACCTCACAAAATAGTGTAAGCTTATCATCTGGTAAAAGACCATTAGTTTCCTCAAGTAAAAAGTCTCGTCGAATGAATTTTTTAAAACCCCAGTCCTTGCCTTGAACAAATCGATATGCTCTTTGGCTTTCTAGTAGTAAATAAATAAAACAGGAGTATATTCAATTAAAAGACATTTTAAAATAATTACGGATAAGAAATGAAATCCAAGGTACCTACTGAGCTGAAATCATTATATTATTAATAGCAATCTATGTAACCATGAATACATTTTTGGCTGAGAAACTGCCCCACTTGCTGTGCATTGAACATAGTTTAATATAAATTACCAGCCATTTGATTCAATTGCCAACCACACAGAAATAAAATATAGAGGTAAATATTTTTGGTTATAAAGACCCAGGGTGGCTTTTAAAAATATAGGTAGTCCTCGACTTACGTCCATAATTGTGCCCAAAATTTATGTTGCTAAGCAAGACATTTGTTAAGTGAGTTTTGCCCCATTTTATTACCTTTCTTGCCACAGTGATTAAGTGAATCATTGCAGTTAAGTTAATAACATAATTGTTAACTGAATCTGGCTTCCCCACTGACTGCTTGTCAGAAGGTCGCAAAAAGTGATCACATAACCCCAGGACATTGCTACCATCATAAATATGAGTCAGCTGCCAAACATCTGAATTTTGATCACGTAACCATGGGGATGCTGCAATTGTCACAAGTATTGAACACAGTCGTAAGTCACTTTTTCAGTGTTGTTGTAACTTTGAATGGTCACAAAATGAAGTGTTATAAGTCACGGACTACCTGTAATCTTAAAGTATTTGGTAATATTTGGATGTCGATTAGTCAGCTAATGAACATGTTATCTAGAAAATTTATTGTACACAGTTATTTTACAAAGGTTGTGCAAGCTTTTCTACCCCACTGTTCTCCAATCAAGCTATCAGCTCTCACAATCCTGGCCTGGGTACCAAAACCCTGGAAAGTGTCAAGTGGAGGAACACTATATTAGAAAGAACAATACTGCTGTTAATGAAAGTTACAATAGCAGTAAAGTTATTTTTCATCCAACAGTAACCCATGGCATTCCGATGAGAGGCAGTTCTAGAGAAGCTAAACCCAGTGAGAAAAGGCTCTTGACTGTGAAGCAGTTATTTTAATATATGGGAGAATGAACTTAATCTAGCCCAGTAACTGTATCCACTGTGCAGACTCATGAGCCACCAACAGGTCTTTCAGATAGCCGAGTATGTCCATCACAGGGCACAAAGCGTCAACACCACTGATTTATACTGGTATATTTTAAGAAACAGGAGAAAAAAATAAGAAAGCTCCATAATAGGGCAACCAACAGCATTCTGCACACAAATCAAAGGACAGAATGAGGCTCATTTAACCCAGTCAGCAGGCTGCCTAGCTTACCTGAAACCTCATTCTGTCCTTTGATTTGAATGCAGAAATAGGTTGCTAAAACTCCCCAAGTAAGACACATCAAGGAGTCAACTGTTTACCCATCTCAGTAGTAACGAACTGACAGATCCTACAAATATTCATTAAATGGAAATTACAGATGTTAGTAGCTTTTTCTGTGAAAGGCTTTACAGACAGCAGCAGCATCATACTTTCCCAATCATATCTACATAGTGATTTTTTTTAATACAATGGAACACAGAATTTAAATAAATTTCCTGTACTGTCAACTAGACAAACATCAACTTAAAAATTCAAGGCAGCTATTGCAAAATAGAGGTTAAGGAGGGAGGGAGGGAGGGAGGGAGGGAGGGAGGGAGGGAGGGAAGGAAGGAAGGAAGGAAGGAAGGAAGGAAGGAAGGAAGGAAGGAAGGAAGGAAGGAAGGAAGGAAGGAAATAAAAAAATCTATGGAAAGCTAGAGTGTATAACCTTTTCTGAAAGGTTTGATTTGTCATAAACATAAACAAGTATTTCTAAGAGAATAAAAAGGTGATGAAGCTGAGTGAAGATTCTAATTAACCCTTTTGACAAGCTTTGGAAAGGCCCAAGTATTTCTTTCTCACACTGAAAGTCAACATCAGAGTAATTTTAAAAATACACTTACCCATTGCCTTTGTTTCTTCTCTTTTTGCATTTAACAGAGAAAACTTAAATTTTGCTCTCACTTCACTTTTTGGACAACTAACTAGAAGTAAATACAATGAAAGATAATCTTTGCTTTCATCATCTAAACCTTTTGGATTTACCCTCAGGCACCTGGAATGTAAGAAGTCTGGGTTATACATCAATGCTCAATAAAAATTGTCCTCAGCTAGACAAATTTATGTCAGGATTTACAGGTTAATGTGTTTCAAATGTGCTAGGATAAGGTCCCTTACAAGGAAACATAAAATAGCTCTCTCTTTTAGATTGATACTTTGCAAAAACGTTTTTGAATAGTATGGCCTCAACCAAAGTTACATTCTTCAAATATTCCACTATTGTGGATTAGTGTCACATCCGCTATCTTCAAGTCTAATCTTGCTCTCCTACCTCAATGGCAAGATTTCAGTATTTTATATAGTAGAATAGCTCCTCTAGAAAAAATACATCTGATAAGTATCTTAACACAAGGAAAAACTGGTGTTTTTCCTGTCAACACCTGCATTTACCATAAAAGTTTATAGGATTCTTTAAAACAATATGGGATAAAGTGCAGAAAAAAGTGACAAAATCCATACCCATCACTTTTTCACTTTCTTTTTAAAAAAAACTTCATTACAATCTATGGTGATTTCTATAAGCTACTCAATGGAGACTGCCTGTAAATACAGGTAGTCCTTAATTTACGACCACAATTGAGACCAAAATGTTTGTTGCTAAGCGAGACAGTTAAGTGAGTTTTGCCCCATTTTACAACCTTTCTTTCTGCAGTTGTTAAGTGAATCACTGTAGTTGTTAACTTAGTAGCATGGCTGTTAAGTGAATCTGGCTTCCCGATTGACTTTACTTGTCAGAAGGTTGCAAAAGGTGATCACATAACCCTGGAATACTGCAACCATTATAACACATGCCAGGTGCCAAATGATCACATGACCATGGGGATGCTGCAACAATCATAAGTGTGAAAAATAGTCCTTTTTTCATGCCGTTGTAACTTGGAATGGTCACTAAATGAACTGTTGTTAAATCGAGAACTACCTATATATTCAAAACATAGGGATTAAGAAAAACCAGGCATTGTAAGGAAAGCCAAATATAAGCATATTTTTCTCTTTAAATAATAACTACTGATCTACTCAATTTGCATCTCACCTCAAGACGCTCAGGGATAATAATAATCCCAAACTTTCAGAAAGCATGCTTCCATCACACATTCAGGGACAAAAGGAATGGATTATAATCAAAATATTAACGTTACATAAACAGCAAGGGAATTACATGAAAACATTCTTCACCACACTAATTCAAGCACTTAAAATAGAACGTACAAGAATTCCTGGTTTACACATTAAGTTAAATAAGCCACAGAGAGCTACACTAAATTAACATGGCTTCCCAGTTCAGACTTGTTTAAGTAACCATCTATTTTTGTTTATTTAGCAATCTGTGTTTAAACCAAATGTGGTTTAGCATGATATATGAACCATATCAGAGTTTCAGTAGTCAAAAAATGAGAAACTAGTTTTATATAAATGCAAAATTACATCAGTGGTTCCTAACACAATAAATGTCAGTTTTATATACAAACACAAAAAATGAATATTAGCTAAACCTGCACCACATTGCGCCATTAAAGACCACATTTTACAGGATTTTAGGAAGAAATGTCAAAACTTTGACAATCTGGTGATCTCAAAAGATTTTTTGCCATCAAGTACATAATTTTTTATATTAACTACTTAATGTTGGGTTGAGGCAAGGTGTCAGATGTGGTATGATAGGGAAACGTGTACATTTCCAGCCCATAATTTAGTGGTTCTCCTAATGTTTTCAGTGATGACACAGTGTTTCCATTACGATATTTAAATTTAGTAGCTGGAACAGTGGGATTGTACAATGAATCAGAACATAGTTAATAGCTGATTGGTTCGAGAGTGCTGACTCCTGCGTGAGGCAATCTATGCTGTGATTGGTTGCTGTGGGCATGGAGGGGGAGTTTCCCTTTTCCCTCGCCTTTTTCTTCTATGTGCCCTGTGTGCTCAATTCCCTGACAGTTTCATATCAGAGAAAAGGCTGGAAATCACCACAGTATATTTCAATATGTTACAATATGTATGACAAATTATATTTCAGCCTTTAGCTCTGCTGACTGTTATTGTGACTGGTATCCAGTTGCCTCTTGAAAAAGCACCTTTGGGACATTGTGACTGGTAGTAGTTGACTCTTTTTCTGTCAACTGTTCTAACATTTGAAGAAATATATTGTATCCTAACTTGATACATTATATGTTCTTGGAATCTCTTATATTTAAGGCAAAAAGAAATTAATGCATTTATCTTACCATTTCATTTTATCATTTGGCCCTGAAGAAAAAGTTGAACTTTTTAAAACTTCACCCATTTCTTCTCGGCAGAAACTGAAGTTATTAATGGTCCACATATAAGAAAACTTCACAACTTTAACCTGCATAAGAAATGCAGACGGTTATGTAAATTTACAAAGTTCATCTTTTTCAAACCTAATTTTAAAAAATTACCAAAGAAATCAACTGCTCACCCACTTAAAGGTAACAAAACATTATCTTGTAGAATTAAGGAATCGCTCAACTTTGTATTTTAAAAGTTATGTCAACACATTGTATAATTATTTTCCATTAACTCAAAGTTGCCACTACTAACTCACAGTCCTGGAGAGCAATAAATCTGTAGGCTCCCAGAGTTGAGAAAGCTGTATTCGTGATTAATTTGCTTTCTAATATTTGACTAATTAAATTGCTAATAATGCTAATACTTTGTATTATGGATTGCCAGGAAATAAGTGTCTCATTGATGATCATGTCAGGCAGTAGAGCTACTAATGCATAAAATTTAAGCTTCTCATTTTGAGATAATTCATCTCATTCTTCCTAGTTTTATAGAACAAGATTACAGCATTTATCCCTTCTTTCTCTTAAATGGAAACAGTAATAAATTAATAATAGGAAACTTAATAGCTCCTCAGAGTTCAGAAAGCTAACACACGTAATAATGTTTTAACTTTTTAAATTTTAGATACTAGGCCCTGGGATATTTCAGAACATCCCTTTTGCATTTGTATGCTGCATACTATAATTGTAGTATGCAGCAGGTTATCTTCAAGACCGCCTTCTGCCACATAGCTCCCAGCAGACCAGTAAGATCCCACAGAGTTGGTCTCCTCCGGGTCCCATCAGCTAAACAATGCCAGGTGGCGGGCCCGCAGGGAAGGGCCTTCTCTGTGGCTGCCCCAACTCTCTGGAACCAGTTACCTCCTGAGGTCCGGACCACCCTATTGGCCTTCCGAAAAGCAGTGAAGACCTGGCTTTTCCGGCAGGCCTGGGGCTGTTGATCTCGCTCTTGTGATCTGGCGAGATACGGCCATGAATGGCATGAATGAGTTTTTAATGTTTTCATTTTTAAATGTTTTTTATAATGAATTTTTTAAATGTATTGTGAGCCGCCCTGAGTCTTCGGAGAGGGGCGGCATATAAATTGAATTAATTAAATTAAATTAAATTAAATTAAATTATTATTTATTTATCACATTGGACAGCTGCCCATCTCATAACAAGTGACTCTTCTATGTACTTTGAAAATGATTTAAAAGACTATTCAAAATGCCTTTGGATCAGCATCGTTTTAAAGCAGCTACAACATTTTTGAGACTCACATGAAAAACCCTAACCCATTCTGTAGTACTACCCAATCATTTTTGAAGCACGAACAGCCTTACTCTTCACTTCTACTAGAATTTTCTGGTCTTCTGAATTAAGCAGAATTAAGTCTGGTTAATCTTTGATATGATAGTGCCAGAGGAAACCAGAGTTATAGATAAATAAAAATCCAGAAGACAGGCAATTGCACACACTTTTCATATCACTGCTAAGAAACTCACATGAACATGTCATCAGGAGCTGAAACTGACTCAAAGGGATGGGGGGGAAAGACTGTTACTGCATTCCACCAAACACAGAGATACAACTGAACTGTGTAATACTAACTGTTGAGATCTGGTTCATTATTGAAAGGCTAAGTGACCAATTACCACTGGCTATTCTTTGTCATTGTCAGGTACAGGTTGAACACTTCAAAGCCTTTAGGCTGTTCATCTACTTATTTATTTTTTTGACAACTTGCCAAACTCTGGTATTTAATCTTCTGCCTATTGTAAAACTGTCACTGCGTTTTTCACTTTGTGTTTGTATATTGGCTTTTTTGCGAAAACGTCCATATCCAACTTTTTGGCTCCCTGTTCTTCTTTCTGAAAATCAGAATCATAAATATTTCTTTGGACAGCTTTTCAGGCATGGCTATTATCATTACTTTTGGGCAATGCCTCTTTCTCAAAGTTGATTTATTTTTACTTAGTTTGTTAGTTTCTTCAAGATTTCAAGGCAGTTTATTTGGGATCTCCATTTCATCCCTACCATGACAACACCATGCAATAGGGCTGGACTGAGAGAGAATAAGTAGCTAAAAGGGCAAACTTGAACTATGAGAATTATGCTAATAACGCATTCTGAACTCAGACACTACATTACCTGTGTGTAACACCAGCTTTCAGCCACAGGTCCACTGGACATCTCTCCAGATGGTGAAGGAGTAGGGACTCTTGACATCCCCACTTTATGGCACTCTTTTTCAGTATAAAGGCAGCAATTTAGCTGTCAGTATCCTTCCTTTCAACACCAAGATGGAAGCAAAGAATTAGCACTATTTCAGTTATTATTAATCCACAGTTTCTATATAACGATATGAAATGCCAAAGAACAAGAGAAAGAAGTGAACAAAACCTTGGGATAAAGAACTTTATTTTCCTTGTTTCCCCAAGGCTTATTATTTTTGGTAAAAACCTGAAAATGGGGAAAGGGAGAAGTATGAAATTCATCCTAATTTTTTTTTAATACCTAGAAATATTAAAAGGTGAAAGAATATAGGGAATACCTCAATATAGGGAAAACAGCAGCTTTTGTAAGCCCACAAACTTGATAAAAGATTAAAAAATAAAAAATGATAAGGAGTAAAAACTACTGATAATAACAGCAATTCACTTTAAGGAAATAACGACATATGGACAATGGTTCACATGATAAAATGTATTCTGAGCCTCATTATTTCAACCAAAGATTAATGGGTAGCTTTTGATACAGGTTTCATACAGAGATCAAATTCTTTATTTTACTATAAGGTTGATGTGGCAAACATACTGAATACTCCTTTCTCCTCCTATTTTCTCCTCAACAACAACCCTTTGAGGTGGATTGTGTAGCGAGAGAATGACTGGCCAAAGTCACCCAGCCAGCAGATAGGACTAGAACTCGCCATCTCCTGGTTTCTAGCCTTGTGCCTTAACCACTAGACCAAATTGGCCTAAAAGTTAAATTTTATATTCTGACAATTTAATATCACCTTTGTCTACTTATACATTTTTTTTAAAAAAATCTTTTAAGTAGACTATATAAATCAATAAAAAATGCCTATAGCGATTGTTGGAAAATCTTCTTGACTACTTTACCTTCCCCCCCCCCCCCAAGTCTGATAACCAACCGCAGATACTTAACTGATAAAGGGTCCCTTTATTTTTTTTCATTTATTCTTATGCCTCCAAAAGTTCCAGGTGGTTTGCAAACACAAAATACATTAAAGGTAAAGGTTCCCCTCGCACATATGTGCTAGTCGTTCCCAACTCTAGGGGGCGGTGCTCATCTCCGTTTCAAAGCCGAAGAGCCAGTGCTGTCTGAAGACGTCTCTGTGGTCATGTGGCCAGCATGACTCATTGCCAAAGGCACACGGAATGCTATTACCTTCCCACCAAAGATGGTCTCTATTTTTCTACTTGCATTTTTTACGTGTTTTCGAACTGCTAGGATGGCAGAAGCTGGGACAAGTAACGGAACAAAACGCTGTTTCACGGCACTAGGGATTCAAACCGCTGAACTGCCGAACTTTTGATCGACAAGATCAGCGTCTTAGCCACTGAGCCACCACATCCCTCTCAAAATACATTAGAATGCAATAAAACCCCATGAACCACAGCCATTATCAGATTTGAGTCAACAGAATGAAATCTCAAACAAAACAAGAACTGTTTTGCTACTTCAATTTAAAATGTTGCCTGAGTTTTAACTACCTTACAGGAGGATGAAAGGGGCCAGATACACTGGGGGGAGGGGCAGAGGGCGGGAGGAGGAGTCCAACCTGTAGACAGAACGTTATCAAGAGTGATCTGCTAAATCGGTAGAACTGTACTACAGGAGAGGACCTTTTGCATTTATTCTTCTCAAAGGACATAAATCCTTAACAAGATCTACAGGGTTCAAAGATAACGAAGGACTACCTTCTGAGTCTTCCTAACCAAAAAACAAACACTCTGGTGTAGCACTCAGTAGGAAGGAAAAGGTTGTGTGTGATCTAAAGAGGAAACTCTTCATTTTTCCCATTCCAATGCTTCTCCTCAGGCATTAAAGCAACCGTATCCCTCGAAGGCTCATTTAGCGGGTCTGAAGGCTTGGCTTCTGTTGGAATCCTTAGCAAAGTGGTTGCCCATGTACACACACACCTGAGGACATTCAGCACAACTTTTAAAGCAGCACGGTGAGCTTCACAAAGGATGCACTGTTTTAACCCTTCACACAGGGGTGCGTCATCAGGCTTAACATGTTTTGTGAAGCACCCCTGCTGAATGTTTTGAAGAACAGCCAAATATAAATCTGCACATTGTATTTAGCCTCTTGAGAGAACAAAGATTCATTCAAAGTCTACTAAAAATACCTGATCCAGGCTAAAGATCCCCACAGATGCCCATTCAGGAAAAACAAAGAGTCTCAAGAGCAAATCTTCAGAGGAAACACAGGATAAAGAAGGTGGAAATAGTCACCTTCTTCCTTTCCATGTGAGGGATGCTTTTCTTAGGAGGAGGAAATCCTGATCCAAACAAGAATTTGGCTAATGTATGTTATGCATGCATGTATGTATGCATCAGTGGTGAAATGTAAAATTTGTTATTACCGATTCTGTGGGTGTTGCTTGGTGGTGGTGGTGGTGGTAATGTGACTGGGTGGGCGTGGCAAACTTTTTTTTTTTACTTTTAAAACCATTTTTTCTACAATCTCTTCGTGCGAAGGTTGTACAAAAATGCTTTTAAAAGCCTCTGACGACCCCAGCTGAGTTGCCTGATCGTCAGGGTTTTTTTTCCTTTTAAAAACATTTTTTCGGCAGAAGAGGTTGTAGAAAAAATGCTTTAAAAATAATAAAAAAAGGCCTCTGATGATTGCGCAGCTCAGCTGGGCATGGGGGGGAGGGGCAGGGATTTTTGCTACCGGTTCTCCGAACCACCTGCCGCCATCGCTACTGGACTGGGCAATCCGGTCCGAACCGGGAGCATTTAACCCCTGGTATGTATGTTTGTATATGTAAGTACATGTGTACTGTATGTATGTTTGTACGTAAGATTGATTGATTGATTGATTATTTTCAATTTGTCACCCATCTCGTCACAAGCTGGCTACACACAGCTTTGTGTATAGGTAGTCCTTGATTTACAACCACAATTGAGCCCAAAATTTATGTTGTTAAGTGAGACAGATGTTAAGTGAATTTTGACCCATTTTATGACCTTTCTTGCCATAGTTGTTAAGTTAGTAACATGGTTGCTAAGCGAATCTGGCTTCCCCATTAATTTTGCTTCTGACACTTGGAAAAATGTGATCACATGACCCCAGGACACTGCAATCGTCATAAATATGAGTCAGTTGCCAAGTGTTAAAATTTTGAACAGAATACCAAGGGGATGCTGCAATAGTCCTAAGTGTGAAAAAAAGGTCATAAGTCACATTTTTCAGTGCTGTTGTAACTTCAAAAGGTCACTAAATGAACTGTTGTAAGTCAAGGATTACCTTTATAAAGTTCCAATGACTCCATCAATAAATGGAGACATCCATAAAAACCAGACAAAAAGAATGCTGTTGCTTGCCTTTTGAAACATTTGGCAAGACACTTTTCCAAAGATTTTATCCTGGCTTAATAAAAGCTAGATGATTAGAACGATGCTCTTGTCTGCCATAAATCATGTTAGAAAGGATAATAAAATATGTCTAACAATATTATGGATTACATTTAAAAAAATGACAAATGCACCTATACTAACACTGAGTGCTTTATAGTAGAAAAGCAGATATTCCGTTAATATTAAACTTGATAAACAAATACTTCTCTCCAAAATGACATTCTAGATTATTAAAATTCTATGTCTGTGGAAGCTCTGAAGTCTTAAAAGTCATTTAAATACTAGACAGCTTTTACACAAAATTTATTGAAGCATTAAAACTACAAACTTTTTTTCTTCAGGAGAATCCATCAGAATTAATCATTTTGCCTTAAACTGTCTGATAGCTGTATTAAAACTCTTGAGCTCTAAAATGTAACTATAATGTGTTCTTATCCTAGCATGTATCAGAAAATTGAAACAGACTAAAATTGGAGTTGTTTGCTTCTCCTTAGATAAGGATGGGCAAGAAGTTTAAATATGGCAGTTGGTAATAGGTTAATACAGATAATATATGATCCAATATGATCCTGCAGGATAAAATATTGATAGAAGAGAGGGAGGAGCTGATTTGAAAAAAAAATGATTTTAAGAAACCGCTATTATGAAATAAATTTGATTATTATGAAACATTAAAAGAAAACCAAACAGCTGCACATATGAACAATATTCAAGAGCTTTTATCATAATATCACATACACTCAAAGTATATATATAACCTCCAAAGCCATCAGTGAAAGATAAAGGGAAGCTACTGTTCCTTCAAGGTTCATGTAAAACCAGAAGCAATAAACCCTCTTCATTTCAATATTAACAATGAGGACTTCCAGGGAAGAAATGGCGAACTGAAGATGGTTCCACTGAGAACGGAGACAACAACTATGGCAGAATGAAGAGCTGGCAAATGGACAGGATTCCTCTCTGGACCTGAAGAGGATTTGGGATTGCCCACAAGTGTTCCCAATAATTGCTCTTCATGAGATTTCAAGGAAGTGTTTTCTGGCAGATTTAGAACTTCAGGAGATGAAAAAATAGCCACCTTTATCCACACTGGTGGCACCTCTAAGGATACAGAGTTTGCATACTTTCTCTCTTAATCACTTTTTCACTTAGTCAACTTTTCGTTAATCACTCCTGCCTTAGGCAGTGGTTGGACTAGAAGACCTCCAAAATCACTTCCAGCCCTATGAGTCCATAATTTTGGAAATTGCTTGTCCATTGCTTTTCAGATATTAGGAACTTCAGAATGTCAAGTTTTACCAGCCTAGGTGAGTTTCCTTTAAACCTTTGTGAAAGATGATTTAAGCACTTTAAAATGTTTCTTTTTTTGGGATAAATAGCGATTAGGACATTGATTTTGGAAAGTTACAAACAAAGGGTCCAGATGGATTTGAAATAAGTTATAAAAAGCTTTCCTGTGGGAAAACAGTGTTTTGAATCACACACACACACATTTTGCTGGCAGGAAGCCATGTGATCATGGCCTACTGCAATATAATAATCACAAGCTGGATGCCAAGCACCTGAATTGCAATCATGATCACAACAGCTGGAACTCTGAAAACCCATTGTAATCCCCTTCCTCAACGCCATCATAATTTTGCACAATCATGATGACTGAAGGGTCATAACTCAAGGACTATCTGTACACTAAATCCTTAAGGCACTTTTGCTTGTCCAAATACACTGCCAAGACTAGGTGTTCCAAAAAGCAATTCTAAGGATATGGGAAAGGGAAGAGAGCCACTGCTTCATAAATAGTGGGGCTGATGTACCTATATGTCAACACTGATGTTGTTCTTCCTTTTATCTCTTATTGATTTAAAACTGAGGGAAAAACCTGATGCCAATTTGAGAAGAGCATGGGTGGGGGAAGGGGGTATGAGTCTGTGGTCACATAATTGAAAAAAAGTGAATTCTGACTACACTCCCATCTCGCATGATGCATAGTAGATGTGCACCAGAGATATCTATAAGCCTAAATAAGCTTCAGTACCATTTCTGCTCATCTTTTGCTTTGCCAAATAAACCATATTGAATGGGAACCTTTGTTTTGTCTCAATACAATTTTTTAAAAGTACAGGGGATCCCACGGGACTCAGGAGGATGGAAAAAGCTAAGGGGGGATAGGGGGGCATTGAAAAGCACGTAATTATATTTGGTGGTAAGGTTAAACAAGTAATATGTTGTTCAAGTCTCTTAGTTCAAAAATGTAAATAGGGATGCACTTGATTTACACATCAGAACTTATAAAGAATTTGATTAAGGTTGCCAACATGGTAAAGCATGGTAACATTTACTTAAATACTGAATGCTTGTAAAGTGAGAAAACTGAGATGACAGTGTATTTTTCCTCCACTCATCTCCTGGTGAGTTTTTGTGATAAAATGACATTTCTTTTGTTTTATGGTACAAGTGGTCCTTGGGTTACAACAGCAATTGGAACCAGGATTGCTATCACTAAGCAATGTGGTTGTAAAGCACGGCATCACATGACCATGTTACTTAGCAACAGCAATCTCGGCTCTCCCAGTAGCTGTTGAAACCCCAGGATGGTGCAGGTTATAAAGCAAGAAGAGGTGAGAGTCCCAGATAAGGAGTTCGGGAGGATGGAGTGTGCGTTAGGGGGCGAACAGGGGGTGCAAGCAGGCTGGCAAGAGCAACAGACAGGGTCTGGGAAGCTTGTGCTGGCTTTGTATGGACATTTTTCTTAAATTTGGAAAGCTAATGAACTCATGCCTTTGTGTAGACAGGACAAGATCTTAAAGCCACTCAATTGATCAGGAAAATTGGTCAATTTTTCTTCTTCTTTTTGGTATCTGTGGTAGGGAAGGATTTTAAAGGGGGTGGGCTATGGATGGCTTACATTTCTGAAATTAAAAATAATGGGAATGAACTTCATTAGTAATAGTGAACATCACCAGAGTGAGACGATTTGAACCCTGATTTTCAGTCTTATACCACTGTACCAATTACTAGAGCATGAAGTTTGCCATTCTTGTTAAAACAAAATAGCTACCAGGGCAGGTGGGAGGAGGGGGCAATTAAGAGGTATATGTCCTTAATGTCCATAATATTTCATTATGTGTTTGTGTGGGGGAGGGGAAGCACAATGATTGATTTGTAAGATCTACTTCATATAATGTAACTGAGAAAGTTATAGCATAGCACCACAGAATTGGAACTGATAAGGACTAATGTATCATAGATGTTTGAATTTAAATTGGCAAGCAAATCCTCCAGAATTAAATACGTGGGTAATACCTAATTGTTCCCATCTGCCAGCTACCCAGACTGCTCTGGAGGAAGCAGACAGAGGTGGCAGAGAAGAGAAGACAAAGAGACATTCCTTTTCTGTTATCTTAGACATATGATCTCTAACACTGTCATTCAATCATATTTTTCTTTTTTTTAAAAGCCCACATATAATTATGGGGAAGTTGTAAGCAGAAAAGGAAAATGGAAAGTGAAAGTGAATCTAAATAGCACATGTTTTATGATAAGGATAATTTGTTATATTCAAGACAATTTTATAATCCTCAGACTATTAGCAACTGAAGAAATTTCTTCTGAAGATATGCCAACTATATATGGAAGAAATATGCCCATTTTTCTTACCTAAAGAAAACAAATCAACCATACCACAAAGAGATGAATTTCTAGAGTTTATACATTCCAATAAAATGCTAACAATAAATAGGAGAATTTGTGGGACTGAAAGACATGGAGCAAAAGAGAAATCAGTGGATTATGTGCCCTCAAGTTGACACTGACTTTTAGTAACCCTCATGGACCTTTTGCCAGGACGATCTGGCTCCAGTCTGACCATTCTGAGCCTTCAGCATATCAGTTTGAGGTTGGAAACTCGTTCTTAAGTTTGGAGATTTTTTTAGCACTTTTTCCATTCCTATTTCCACCTTCAATGTCTTTACAGATTGGTACAGATAGAACAAAAGGGCAATTACCCATCAATTTGAGACATTCTATATGGTTCCACTGTTAAAAAAAACCCACTGAACCAGCTAGCACTAGGTGGCAAACAGGAAACTGCATTTTATTCAAACTGCAGCTTCTCGGTCCCACGTAAATGAACTATAATAATCTGAGATATGGCAAGGTCACAGGTCATTGTCTTTTGAAACTCCTGGTCTATGAAACGGCACAACTGGTGGGTCAGCCTAAAGTGGCCAAAGACTTTCTGGCTATGGTTTCCACCTCTTGCTTTAGTAAAAACCAGGAGCACCATCACACTGTACACCTGTCCTTTCAGGAAATGTAACCCCATCCAGAGCAACAGATGGAATATCCATGAAAACAAAAGGAATTCCTTATGGCTTGTATCCAATGAGTCTGTTTTATCTTATCCATGTAAAACCGCATTTCCACATTTCCTGCTCAATCTAGCATAGAGATATAAAATTGGTTACCATCAGTATATTGATGATATGATATCTATTCCCAAATAAATGTGATGACCTACCTGGTAGAGTCATTAAGATATTAAATAATATGGGGAAAAAGGGTGAATCTTAGGCAACTGTGAGTTCTCTCTACAGCAGTGGTTCTCAACCTGTGGGTCGCGACCCCTTTGGGTGTCGAATGACACAGGGGTCGCCTAAGACAGTGGTCACCAACTAGTGGTCCGTGGAGAAATTTTTGTATTTTTGCACTTTTGCAGGTGGTGCAATACGGAAAAAGGAGCGCAGCCCTCGCCGTCCAGAATGAATGGTGCTGTTGTGGCGGTGGGGGAGGGGGCGGCACAAGCGGGAAGAAGCGGCGTTTGCAATGGCTGGGAGCTGTGGGAGCAAAACACTACTTTCATTTGTACAGCAACAGCATTCCGCCTCAGTATATTTGCGCCAGCCAGTGGCGCAAGGCAGCCCTCATCTCCTGACTCTTGGGACTCGGAGCGGTAAATAGCGTCTGGTCCGGGGAGCAGCTGGATTTTGCTCTCCATTGCGAACACCAGATCGGCCCCCTGCAAGCTCTCGTCTCTTGAGCGCTCCCTGAAGTGGCGCTGGAAACTTTGGTCGGGCTCCTCGAGAGACGAGAGCTTGCAGGGGGCCGATCGGGTGTCTGCAATGGAGAGCAAAATCCGGCTCCTTCTCTCCGCTGTAAGTGCGGCATCAGGATTCCACCTTGGTATATTTGCGGTGCAAAGCAGCCCTCATCTGCTGACGCTTGGGACTCGAAGCGGTAAATGGTGACTGGTCCGGGGAGCAGCTGGATTTTGCTCTCTATTGCAGATGCCAGATTGGCCCCCTGCAAGCTCTCGTCTCTCGAGGAGCGCTCCCTGAAGTGGTGCGGGAAACTTTGGTTGGGCTCCTCGAGAGACGAGAGCTTGCAGGGGGCTGATCTGGCATCCACAATGGAGAGCAAAATCTGGCTGCTCCCCGAAGCAGACAGTATTTACCGCTCCGAGTCCCAAGCGGCAGGAAACGAGGGCTGCCTTGCGCTGCAAATATACCAAGGCGGAATCCTGATGCCGCACTTACAGCAGAGAGAAGAAGCTGGATTTTGCTCTCCATCGCTGACACCATATCGGCCCCCTGCAAGCTCTCGTCTCTCAAGGAGTCCGACCAAAGTTTCCAGCGCCGCTTCAGGGAGCACTCCTCGAGAGATGAGAGCTTGCAGGGAGCCAATCTGGCATCCGCAATGGAGAGCAAAATCTGGCTGCTCCCCGGACCAGTCACCATTTACTGCTCTGAGTCCCAAGAGGTAGGAGATGAGGGCTGCCTTGGCCACCGGCTGGCACAAAAATACCAAGGCGAATGCTCATGCAAGTTCAAGTAGTGCTTCACTCCCACACTTCTGCCGGCCCTTGTTGGTGCTCCGCGCACCTCAGTCTCTCAGGGAGATGCTTGACTTCCTCTCAGCCCCAAGACACTGGCTGGCCCATGAGATGAGAGAGAGAGAGAGAGAGAGAAAGAGAAAGAGAAAGAGAGAGAGAGAGAATCAGAATGAGACAGAGAGACAAAGAATGAAAGAGAAAGACAGAATGAAAGAGAGAGAATGAGAGAAAGAGAGAATCAGAGAGTGAGAGAGAATGAGAGACAGAGAAAGAGACAGAATGAAACAGAGAGAATCAGAATGAGAGAATCAGAGAGAGAGAGTGGGGGAGAGAGAGAAAGGGGGAGAGAGAGAGAATGAGAGAGAGTGGGGGGGAGAGAAGGGGAAGAGAAAGAGAGAATTAGAGAGTGGGGGAGAGAGAAAAGGGGAGAGAGAATGAGAAAGAGGGGAGAGAGAGAGAAAGAGAATGAGAGAGAGATTGGGGATAAAGAGAGAGAAAGGGGAGAGAGAAAGAATGAGAAAGGGGGGAGAGAGAAAGAGAATGAGGGGGGGGAAGAGAAAGAGAATGAGAGAGAGAGACAGTGGGAGAGAGAAAGAGGGGGAATGAGAAAGAGTGGTAGAGACAGAAAGAGAGAGAGAGAGAGGGAGGGAGAGAGAAAGAGAATGAGAGAAAGAGGGGGGGAGAGAGAAAGGGGGAATGAGAGAGAGAAAGTGGGAGAGAGTAAGAGAGAGGGGGAGAAAGAGGAGAGAGAGAGAGAGAGGGAGAGAGAAAGAGAGAATGAGAGAGAAAGAGTGGGGGAGAGAGAGAGAGACAGAGAGAGAGAGAGGAGGGAGAATGCCTGAAGGACCCCATCCCATCACTGGGAGTCCAGGTGCTTCAGCAAGCGCGCGCTGGGTTCGTATTAGTGGTCCGCAAAATTTAAAATTATGAACTTGGTGGTCCCCGAGGTCCAAAAGTTTGGGGACCTCTGGCCTAAGACCATCGGAAAACACATATTTTCAATGGTCTTAGGAATAATTTTATGGTTGGGGGTCACCACAACATGAGGAACTGTATTAAAGGGTCACAGCATTAGGAAGGTTGAGAACCACTGCTCTACAGGAACCCTGTGCTACAATGCCCAGGAGATCTTTCCTATTCCAAGAATAGTTGGAAACGCCCACTAGGAAGGAGTGGAAAAACTCCAAAACAGTGCCCCTGATCTCCAACATTACAGGTCACTAAAAATGATACCGTGATCTATGGTACCAAATGCAACTAAAACATCTTAACAGGACAAAAAAGCATTTCCCCCACTTGCCAAAAATATTTGGCCACAGGACCATCCAGAACTAATTGTTCTTTGTAGGGAACAGTTTGTGCTAATGCTTGCTATGTCATCTCTGCTCTTCTTTGCTTATATGGCATCATCTTCTATTTGCTATTAATTGTGAAACTATCCAGTCATTCTAAATTTGGGTGGCCTAGAAATTCAATAAATGGATGAATGGCTCTCCTTAGATCAGTTTCATGTTATTTATTTTAATAAGAAATATACAAACCTATAATAGCTTTCAAAATTATTTTGTTGGGGAGTTGGGTAAGAAGGAAATTCTAGAAAGTTTAGAATTTCTAAAAATTCTAGAAACTACCGTACTCTATGTGGCATATGTTGAGGAAGGGAAACTTTAACACTGAAGTTGGGTAACTGAAATTCTCCAAGGCAGAATAATGCTTTGGAACCTCATTCTAATTAATTCTTAATAACCACATTGCTAGTGCAAATGGAAGTATGTCAGAATTTTTGCTTGCTTTATCCTCACTTCAATCAATTATAATTAAAATAACGGCAGAGTGATTTTTTTAATAAGTCTTCTTCAAGCCTTCAAGTGACTTCATGCAGAGGTCCCTGTAGCTTTCTTGGCAACAAATCTTCTTCTTTTTCTGCCTTCCCATGGGACTTTGTAACAGACTCCTTTCCAGATTCGAACAAGGTTCAACTCTGCTATGCTTTCCAAGAACAGCCAACGTTGTCTAGGTATTGTCACTGAGCTATTACCGAGTTCTTCCAAAGGAGCTGGGATATGTTGATGTTTGATGGTGTTAAAGGTATCACTGTAGGATGTAAACTGTTCTGGGTACAGATTATTATTGTCCAGAGTTGGAAAACTTACATTTTTTGCCATGTTAAATTCTGGGAACACTGTTCTAAGTTCACCCTTATTTGAATATGCTTTAACTAAAGAAATTGTTAATGGGTATTTTAAGTAACTTTCTAGAGGCTATTTTTAGTTTGAATGGTGGTGTTTCAGCAAAATATGTAGTGGTTTTTTTTAATTATTATTTTGTATTCTAGCAAATGTGATTCAAATTATGCATTATATTTCCAGATTAAAAAGAAAGCAAGAATAAGAAAGATAACAGATCAAAAGGCCATCTCTTGAATTTTTACTACACTCTGTAAGTATTAACTAGAATAAAGAATAGCAAAATAGCAAATAATGCTTTATTTTGATATTTTGTTGTACACAGGTCAGCCTATTATTAGCATTCATTACTTCAAACTGAAATTTATCATGCCATTTTTTCTTCTATTGTTCTTCATTCTAGTTCCATTTTACAGGTAGTCCTCATTTAATTATTACAATTGGTACCAGCAACTAACTCCATTGTTAAGCTAAATGGTCACTAAGTAGTAAATCATGTGACCATACTGTACTTTACCTTTCCCCATTCCAAAATGCTCACCCAGAACTGGGATAATTGAAAAGAAGGGAATTGTTTGTATTTACATTCATTGGCAAGGAAAAGATTACAAGACAGTAAGCAGCAACCTAATGGGGATTATACCAATTGTTTGCATAGCACACGTGTGGCTTCCAGCCCTAAGTGCCCTTGAGCTGTTGATGCTGCCACATTCCTTTCAATGTGTACTCCCCATTGTGTGCCTGCTTACTCTCTTATAATCCCTTCCTTTGCAATCTTTCTTAGTTCTGCAAGAGAGGAAAAAATGAAAAATAACAGATCAGGCATAAGACAACACATACTGACTATAATGGTAATCACATGACTGAAGGAGCTTGTCAAGTTCCTAAATGCAGGCTTTTGTCATATAGTTATTTTCTCAGCATTGTTGTAAATTTGAATGGTTGCTCAACAAGCATGTCACTAAGCAAGATCTACTTATACATTGTCACTATCCCACTTGATAAAATAATATAAGGGATAATGAAATACTTATGATTAATGAACAGAACTATGAAAATTACTGGCTATATTAAAACAGGTATGGTTACATATGATGAAGCAAAAAATGATAATTTGACTAGATGTAATTCATATTTGAAAAATTGTCAAACTGATTCTTCATTTCTACAGAAATCCTTTTTTAGCCCAATGTATTTAAAACAAGCATACTAATGCAATTTAAGGTTAACTATATGGCTAATATGTAAGGATACTGTTTTTATAGATGCACAGAAATTCCAACACAGAGAGAAATGTATATTTGTAACAGTTTTAAAACAAAGCTGGAAAGAATGTATTTGTCACATTTTGCATTTCATATTAAGCCATTATGCTAGCCAAGACCATCCTAAAATAACTGAATTTAAAGTGATTCAAATGGGTTATAATATATGGAGCTAGAATCCTGTCCAGGTACAGTAGGCATAATTTATGAATATATAAATTTCACATTTTGGAAATGAAGGTAAGTATACCTTTCTCTCAGATGGGCTGAAGGCTCAATACTACAAAAAAATTTAAGAGGAGGAATTGGCAAAACTATTACTGAGGACAATGAATAAGATTCAAACAAGAACAACCCCTCCCCCCAAAAAAGATATAAGAAATACTGTATACATAAAGAAGAGAGTGAGATAAAGAAACCTCCAATGACCAATTTCTTCACTTAATATTGACTATAAGATATTAACTGCTATATTGGCTGAACACATTTGAAAGTACATCCCTAAAATGATACATAAAGACCAAGCAGATTATAGGTGGTCCTCGAATTATGATCACAATTGAGCCCAACATTTCTACTGGTAAGCAAGAGAGTTGTTAAGTGAGTTTTGCCCAATTTATTTATTACCTTTCTTACTACAGATATTAAGTAAATCACTGCGGTTGTTAAGTTAGTAACATACAGTAGTTGTAAACTAATTCTGGCTTCCCCACTGACTTTGTCAGAAGGTCACAAAAGATGATCACATGACCCCAAAACACTGAGCCATCATTAAAATGAACCAGTTGCCCAGTGCCTGAATTTTGATCATGTGACTATGGGGATGCTAGAACAGTCACAAGTGTGAAAAATTATAAGTCACTCTTTTCAGTGCCATTCTAACTTCGAATGGTCACTAAATGAATGGTTGTAAGTTGAGGACTACCTGTATAACCCAAAATGAAATGCGATTGAAATTGGTGGATTTATTATCAACACATTGGAATGGATCAATATCAAAAAAGAGTTCCTAAGAGTTCTGGCCATCACAGCATTCCTGTGGTCACATAATCGTGATCCAGGCATCTGGTGCAATTATGCTTTGCAATTATGACGTCACAGCAACAACTGTAGTTATGTGATCACAAATTTCCAACATTCTCTGCCCATTTCCCCTAGTAATGTCAATGAGGAAGCCAGAATGGTTAAATTAGGTCCTCACTTAATGACTTGCACAGTTCTCACTTAACAACAGCCACTGCTGTCACTAAGTGGTATGGTTACGCAACATCATGCTCTATGACTGCGCCACTTAGCAATGGCAATTCCAGTCCCATTTGCCATTGTAAAGCAAGGACCACCTGCATCTTCAAACAAATGAAAAAAAAAGCCTTCACAAAAAAAGAAAGAGGAACTTTGAGAAAGATGACAGAGTTTGAAATACTTATACAAAGTCAAGATAATCTGTTAGGATGTTGTTTTTAATAAATGGCTATTGAAATATGAGACGGAGATGAAACAAATTAAACAGTGTAATGTAAAAACATGGAATAAAAACTTGAGAAAAGTAATTGCAGTGGATTGAAGGAAAGATTTTACTTCAAGCTGAAATTTAAGGGAAAACTGATACAAAATATCTGTAGTTGGTATTTAACTCTGTCAATGATTGCCAAAAATCGACAAAGCATACAAAAGAAATGTTGGAAATATCACAACAAAGAAGAAACCATTTACTCCCCCCAAAACCTAAAAAACAAAATATTAGAAATACATTAAAACATTCAAAGTATTTTAAAAAGAAGTACATCAAAACATTCAAAATATTTTAAAAATAAAACTTGAATTGAAATCACGAGTATTTCATCAGGTTGTTTTCACAAAACATAAATAATTAACTTATATGTTGATAGCCGCAAGAACAGATCTTGCACAATATTGGAAAAGAAAGGTTTGCCAACAATATCAGATTGGAAGACCAGAACTGGAGAATATGCTGCAATGTTTAACCAAACTCAGGCAGGAACGTCTCCTTTATATGCAATGCATTACACAGTAAGACAGGGTTTGGAATATGACTTCTAGGACTTAAGTAGAAACCAAAAACAATGATTAATGTTCAACTGAAAGCAAAAATATTTAAACTGTAGTTAGCAGTTGGAGGAAACAAATGGAAGATCAGGGAGGATGTTTTACTAGAAAGTTTTCTCACTACGCTTTTTGAAAAACGTATTTAGTAATTATTATTCTCATCGCACCCTGATCTTAACCAATGCCAAAGCTTGGAAAATAAGCCAGGCCCTGAGGATAAAAGGACAGGGGCAGTTCTTAGGGGAGAAGGTGTTCCATAGGGCAGGGGCTGCCATAGAAAAGGCAACTTCTGAGGATCCACAAGATGGCAGTATTTAAAGGAAGGGACTTGGAGCCTGGATGGGGCAGTTAGGTATCCCCAAGGAGTGGCAGTCCTGCAGATTATCTGGTTCCATGCCACATAGGGCTTTAAGAGTTATAACCAGTACCTTGAATTGTACCCAGAAGAAAACTGGGAATCAGTGCAATTCACATAATAGGGGTGTAGTATGAGCAAACCTTGGGGCACACTGCTGAATTCTGGACTGGTTATCTGGATGGTCTTCAAGGGCAGCCCTGTGTAAAGCGTATTGCAGTAATCCAAACAGTACTCCTGAGCAAGGCCTCCTGGAAAGGGTACAGTTGGCATACAATATAGCAGGGGTAAAATGCTCCCGGTTCGGACCAGATCGCCTGATCCGGTAGCAATGGAGGCGGGTGGTTCGGAGAACCGTTAGCAAAGATCCCTGCCCCCCCCATGCCCAGCTGAGTCGCACAATCATCAGAGGCTTTTTTTTTACTTTTAAAAGCATTTTTTCTACAACCTGTTCGGCCAAAAAATGCTTTTAAAAGTAAAAAAAAAAACAAAGCCTTTGATGATCATGCGGCTCAACGAAAAAAAACCTTTTTTTTCTTTTAAATGCCTCTGACGATCCAAGCTGAATTGCCTGATCGGTGGAGGCTTTTTCAAAAACCTCTGCCGATCAGGCAACTCAGCTTGGATCGTCAGAGCCTTTCGAAAGCATTTTTTTACAACCTCTTCGCCGAAGAGGTTGCAGAAAAAATGGTTTTAAAAGTTAAAAAAAAAATGGCCACGCCCACCCAGTCACATTACCCCCACCACCACCAAGCCACGCCCACAGAACCGGTAGTAACAAATTTTAGATTTTACCACTGCAATATAGATATTTGTAAATGTCCCTCCCCACAGCTGCCATTGTTCATCAACCATAGCTACAAGTCCAAAATCCGCCCCCCCCTCCTAATTGTGCACCAGCTCTGTCTGGGGCATTGCAACCCTGGCCAGTAAAAGATGGTATATCATTATACCTGGGGGCCGAAACCCACAAAAATACTCCATTTTGCCAGGATTGAGTGAAAGCTGGTTCCTCCTCATCCAGCCCCTCACAACCTCCAAGGATGGAAACATGTAGCTGGGCATCATCAGCATACTGATTACACCATACTGCAAGCCAGCTATGAGGTTTCTTTGTTTTCCAGGGACTGGACATACCACAATGTAGTAGATAACTGTACACAATGCATTATTGTGGCACATAACAAGGCTGTTGTTCTGGGTTGACTTAACCCTCCTAGGTCTTGCAAGTTGATGTAACCATATAACCATGTCTTTTATACTGAGTACTTAAAACAATCAAAAGTCTCCAAGACTGTAAAGTGGTGGATAATTTTTGCCTCCCTCCAAAAATTCTTGCACTGGCTGGGATGAGGTGCTGCTTCAAACTCTGCTCTTAAGCAATATTATTTTTGAGCACTTCAGTTGAGCTGCCAAGACAAGCTTAAGGCTGAAATCCCACTAAAATATGCTGCTTACAGTATCCCTGTGGTCCTGGCAGCTGACTGCCCCTACCTTAGCATTTATTTTTATAAGCTAAAAGGCCTGTGTGGAGTGAGCCTGCCTCTGGACCCTGGGATGGCCCTA